ATTCCTTCAACATGCACAGCAGCAGTATTACTGACTAGCTATGTACCAAACGTACACAAGGCGGTGGCCGTAGTCCCCTCCACATTGGATGCAGGGGACCACTCTTTGATTCTAACACGGCCACCAGAACCGTGCACCATATAATCTACATCAACAACCAACTGTCTCCTGGATCCAATGTAAACGAGGTGATGGATAATGGACAGGTAGGCGCCTTGTCAGCATTCGCATCGAGCGCAGCCATACCGGGGTATCAATAAACAAACACCAGCCCACGAAATGCAAGAAACTTAACACGCAGGCATACTTACAGACCAACTGCAACGACGATGCGACACAGGTATCGCATCAGCCGTTTACTTGGCCTGGGTTAGTAAGGTGAATGGAAGCGGACGCAGCGCACCTGCCAATCGCTACGCTGGTCATGCTTAGATAATCAGCCGACTCGTCGTCTTTTGGACGCTGACCGCAATGGGCAACGCTGGTGGCTTACTATGCCCGCTTGGCTCAATGATGCGCGACCGCATGTGTTGGTGGCCTAGAATCCATCAACGCCTGTCGCTTCCGTACCCGACGTTTCTTCTCCACTTGCAGTAATGCCTTCTGTTCCACCTGAGCAACTGTGCTCTTGATCAGCTGACGCCATTCGCGCCGACCAACTCTCTTTGCTTCCCAACACCTGAAATCTACATTAGATCGTGATAAACCCACATTGATCACGTCCTGGCAAAGTAATTTCGGTTTGCGCACGTGTCGCTTCCCCGCACTATGTTGGCCGTACGGAAGCTGTTTGGGTCTCCTCGTCGAATTCATTCGGCTGATATGCCCCACCTACCTCAAGTGCCGCAACAGAAGCATGCAATCCACTGCATACATGCCACTGCGGCGCAGCACCTTGTCTGCAACATTGTCCCACCAACCTATGCGCAGAATCTGTCACAGACGCTCTTGGTGAAGTCGCCCCAGATATCTAACTTCCTTCTGGTACATTGTCCAGATTTAACTGTCATATATAAGAACAGACAACGACATCGAATTGTATACTCGCAGCTTCGTTCCAACACTAAGCTGGTGGTTGTTTCACACAGGTTTCCCCAATTTGCCAAACGCAACAGCCATCTTCGATACGCGGATGTACAGCTCGCTCGTCATCTGCAGGTCCGTAGACATTGCGCTTGCTAGGTAGCAAAATTTCGATGCTGTTTCCAACACTCCATCAGCAAATAGGATTCGGCGCAGACTGACGGACTCCCTTCCTGGTGAAGGCTGGAAAAGAAAAATAGTCTTGCTTGTGTTACTGGTGAGCCCCAATTCGGCCATTGCCGAAGTGAGAGCCGAAGTCATGTGCTGCGATTCCTCCGCACTGTGCGCCAATAACGCACAGTCGTCTACAAACATCAACATACGAATGGTTGTCGCACACACTAGAGTTCTCGCCCCGCGTATCCATCCCGCTGTATGTAGCAGATAAGGCGACTGTTTTCCCAAGGTTCTCCCGCCTCTATATTCGTATGGGTCTATTATCACGTGATCGCTTGCCAGACGAAAACCCACTACGTCCTGAAACACTGCAATTTGCATGAAGAAGCTCATCTCGATCCACCCAGCTGGCACGAATAGGTTCTTCGGCTTCGAAGTTCAGCCCATATCTAGTGCGAACACCTCGTGAGCAATGAGCATGTTCGGCGTCTTGTCTTTTGCGCAGTAAATGGGAATGAGCCATTCAGTACCATTATTTCAAGGCACCGGACTCCGATGGATGAGCGACGTGTTACGCAAGCTAGCACACTGACTGACAGCACACGTTGTTTGTGCGACCTGGGTGTGAATGGAACAAGAAGTGGAGAGGTCAACCGAATACTTGGTCAAAAGGAATTAAGGATCACACTTGGAGCTTGGCCTGGGTTGGGGCCTGAAAGACGACGAATGTTTGATTAACTACACTTGTTCATGTTGAGAAGAGAGGACCCTAATGGCATTTGATTAGTGATTTTCTTTCCCCCTGCTTAACCTCCTTATTTTATCACGATCTCGTCGATGCATGATATGTAACGAATAATAATATTGTTTACTTTGTTTTTCCCGTTCTTTTTGTACCACGTACCATATTTTGGATGGAGAGGTCTTTCCCTGACTTGCCTTGTCTTCTTGGTCACCCATTAAAGCTACTCAAGTGGCTTTTTGACCAGTTTAGGATGGAAACTCATGTGTCGCTGCGAGTTGTCGCTCTCCGGAACTCGCCTCCAGAGCATGTGGTTCGAGGATCTCCGGTTGAGGACCTTGAACCTCAATCGATACTCTTGGATGACAATACAAAAATGTTAGGTGGCTGCCTCTAAACGAATTCATTCCCTTTGTTGACATTTATGTTCAGGAACTACAACTACATTTTCCCCCATTTCAGCCCATCACTGATCCTATCCGGGACTGTGGCGCTCTTTTCCTTTCCACTGTACAATGCTCAGTCTCTCCGGAATTTCCATCAGTGCTTGTTTGTCTTCTCACCTTCCGTGTGTTGACATTGTGGTTGATTAAAAGATCTAAGAACAAAACAATAACCTTTCTAACCTACTTGTATCCTCGTTATCATTCTTATGCACATTAGTTAGAGGTGGGAACACCTCCGCCATTGTGTCGCAACAAACAATGCTAATGCACAATAATGGGACACAACATGAGCGCGCCAGCTAACCCATCAGTACCGAGTGGACATCTTTCCGGAGAGCTAGAGACCGACTGTTGTTGGTTGGAGAGAGGCTTAGCGAGAAGGGAGGGACATGGAAACTCACAACACAAACGCCACTGAGGTCGGTTCCTAACAATGTCGACAAGTGTATCCAGCCACCTCTAACCTAGGGCTCAAATGTTTAGCCCAAATGGGGGCAGTGTGTTCTACCCATAGCCCTTTACTCAATAGACGAACGTGTGGTCCGTTTGGATGCTGGTGCAGCTCGGAAAAGAAAGGTAACAGTACGTCGTACCGACGCTTCGCTTTCGCGTTTACTTGGGGATACTTCGAGGTCGCCCGCACCTAGGCAGATTCGATCCAGTGACTTCTGGAGTACAAAGCAGATGCCCATTCGTTTCGGCTCCGACGGAGTATAACTTTGGAGCAGAGTTCCATTTCGATTCGTTTCTGGTCCATGACTCGCAGCCTTGAAAAGCTCGGAACCATTCGCGAATGCTTTTCCATCGTGGTAGATTACATGTCTGGGACCAAAGTCAATCTTTTGCAAGTTCTAGTGAGTTTTTGACTGGTGACCACCTGGCCGAAGGCAAGGGTAGCGCCAGTATTGCACGCCGACCGAGTTGAACTCGTAGTCCGCAACCGATGTCTTCCATGTCAGATTTTTGAGGATGTGGCACCATCACTTCCAAGTCGATTTTATTCTAACTTCTTTGTAACTGCATATCTTACCGACAGAATGGAGTTGCAATGGGTTTTCACTCGGACCAGTGCTGGCGGACATTTTCTTTGCTAAACTAGAAACTGATTCATAATTTCGACCATAATTACAGCTATATGGATGACATCTTTTATGTGACCAATGAAGAGATAAGTCTGGGGGATATGGTGACTATGTGTAATAGTACACACTAGACAATTAAGTTCACCTACGAACTTGAACAAAAGAGCCAACTCTCATATATGGATGTACACTTAAGTAGCGAACTGATGATTCCCCATTAAGGAAGACATGTACCGGTCACTATACAAACTTCATTAGTTTTGTACCGCATAATTACAAGTGCAGCCTAGTACACCGTCTCATTTCAAGGGCAAGGAAGATATACTCGGGAGACGCTCCGGCAGATGAGATGAAGTCCATCCAGAACACATCGCACGAAACGGATCCGGAAGGATTCATTCAGCGCAACATGCAGCTCAAGACAATATCGAATGTTGAGGAAGTAGTCGAAAGGAATGCTCTGTTCTTCCGAATCGGTTTTAAAGGTAATCTAGTTGCTGCGAAAGTTGACACAATCGATATGGAACACTTCCCCGGATGTGAAATTGCATTGTTTCTTCCCCACGAACCAGCTAATTCTTGTGTGCAACAAAGACAAACTGCTGAAGCCGATCTCTTCTTACGTAATCTGTCAATCTGAGTACACCTGTAGTGTAACACATGTTGCTCGAACGGCTCATCAATTGTTACGTCGCATTAAGGAATCTAGCCCTTAGTGGTTGGTGAACGGGACACCGCAGTTCTTACAAGTGATAATCTGTTCCATCTGTCCGAGTCAAGTCACCGGGTTAACTTCGCGATTGCATTTACTATGGTTTTTCAGGTTCCCAAGAGAAGATCAAAATCTTAGCGCCTACTGGATGCTCGCCACTGCAGAGGCTTTTGCAATTCGAGTATTTTAACCCTTACTGTGCTTGCAAAAATGTCCAGTCTTTCTGTCTGTTCTGACCGAACAGCCACCAACCTAGCCGTCACTCCGGCATTATGATAACGTAATCCTCAATCAATGTGTGAATGAGACAGTAGCGAATTATTTGCTTGTTAAGCATTGGCCTACTTGCCTCTGAACCAATCATTGTCCCTTTGTATTTTATGCTTATACGATTTGTACCGTCCCGGAAAGGAATTATTGCAATCAATTGTTTACCTCAGACTGGTATTCTCTAATTTATAACCACTGATTTGCTTGGTATAAGTATCCGACGACACTTGTAAGTCTTCCCAGCGTATCCCAATGGACCATTTCCCACTAATCACATTCCTTACATTTGAAGATACTTATGTGCATCTCATTTGATTGACAGACTAGTAACCTTCCACGGCACCCTTTTGTTCTCGGATGTTCTACTTTGTCTTGCAACAGTGAGTTAGAGTAAGGGTCCTCTCACTCTCTCAAATCTTCGTTGCAGTGAATTGCTGATTGGACCCTCATGCCATTTGTTTTACGGTGGCTCTAATATGTCCAGACAGTGTTGAAGTATATTTTATGCCTCTTCATGTTTCGGACTTGACCACATACTGGTCAAGAACATGAATTCTACCCGGATTGCTCGCCGGTCTTCTCTCAGGTGGGTGTCGATTCTTTGAAATACATTTGTTTCTAGAACGCCTGTTCCCATTAATCATCTTTCTTCTCACTCATCCTCTGGGAGTTCGGATGAAGGAAACAGCGCTGACTCTGGTTCGGTATATAAACCGAATTCCTCCAGCTCTACATCAAGCGAACCTGATATCCCTTCAGCTGCTTCCGATGAGTTAAAGATGACGGAATCAGCTTCCGCGGATGAACACACTGCTTCGGAGAAAAGGATGACCCGGTCTCATGTGAAAAGCCGATCACGGCCTTGCACTAAAACTGAGTTGCAAAATGCACCGCTTGTCAATGAGTCTACTGGTCCTGATCAAGCTAAACAGCTGAACTACTCTTCTCCCTTGTACAGATATCTAACAAGCTGTAGGCTCAAAGGAGTGACCTCTGTGAAAAGGATTGCGATCAACTGTTTTTCCCAATCAGTTGAATCACTCCGTGGTCTTTTTTTACACGCCGTTCATCCGTTTGCTTTTCATGATGGGTTAGTTCCCCTTGCCTACCTATTCATCAAACCGCCATTTAGTATTGTGTTCAAAGAGGAATTTAACGCCAGACAGGCTGTACTATTTCCGATCAATGTCTCTTGGCAACCATATTCACACGCGTGAGTTGCTCGAAAAGGTTTATGCTAGTTCTGTTAAGGGATGAACTAGGTTGCCTGCCCGAACCGTATTTGAGCCCCCTGATAACGAGTCAGGATCAACACCAGGCTTCTGTCCACTACACAAGGTTGAAACGCTTCGAGTTCAGCAAAGGTTTGGCCAATTCCAGCGTGTTCTTCACATATTTATCTTCTCAGAACATGGTCTGATCTACGTGGGCGGGTTCGTAAAATCCATTACTTGGTGTCCGACACGTATGTTCACTGACAACATTGGTATGGAGAAAAGGGATTCAATGTACATAGCCGTTTCTACCTACCCATCGCCAGCCACCCGCTTCTCTTACGCTGATCCTGTACAAACGCATTCCGGACTCATTCAGATATGGAATTGCGGCGATCTCAGATTATCTGGACCGTAAGCTCTTTCTGATATGCCTTGGGGCACTTATAGTTTTTTCATTATTTCCTCAACAGCGAATACCTTCCTCTCTGCTGAGCGTTTTTATCACCTTTGTTTACACATAGTTAAGTGTTCGCACCTTTCAGAGAACTCGGTCGTTTGCGTTTCAGTTTTCGCTGTCCTTGATAATTGAATCGACGTGACTAAATGACATCGTAAACCTCGTAGATTTCTTCCTTAAGGCATTTGCGAATGGCACCAAAACCTACATTGTTGGTTTTCCTAAACACACCTGGTCGTGATCCTGTGGCTAGTTTCTCATGCGCGGCCTCTGTCCATTTACAAGTATAGATCATTGAACGAGTACATTTCCGGATTCCTCACCTTCTTTCAGTATCCTTCTAGTCCTCTCCTTAATTTTGTTCTTGTGGACTTTTAACAGTTTAGTGTCGTGTAGTATGCCCATTTTTATTATATATTGTAAGAAGAAACGCAAGCGGTACGCTTAAAGCGAACAATTGTTTTTGATTTATTCATCATCAGGCTTGGTAGTCGCTCGTTTCAACGCACTGACGACGTGGCACAGTTGGCCGCTTAGTTAAGTGGTTCAACGGGCCTTGCGAGCTAATGCTACCCAAGTCAATTCGTGGCCTGCCACAATTTATTCAACGTAACTTAGCACTTATTTCTTGAAGGTTCGAACGACAACGGTGATGCACCTTTGAGACGGCGCCATGATCGACAACAATTCTCGGCTCTCCTCTGAGGACGCAATTCATTACCACCACGGTTCTTTGTTCGGATTCTCCACAGGACATGTTGTAATTGATAAATGGGCTGCAGACCAACCAAAACATGTTTGCGAGTATATCCCCTAATGTTATCAGGAAGTGAGTAGGAATTTTATTACTTATAAGCTGCGTGTGATCCACCTCAAGCAAATGTTGGTAGGTTCTGTGGTCAGAAATGAACATCGAGGATCCGGCGTTGGAGTGATCACCGAAAAAGCACGGCATTCCGGCCTCGATTCCGGCTGCGGTTATCCTTACCTAAAAGGGCTAGACGCAAACGATCATGAGGTGTTGTAGGTAGTCAGCACCTACAATTCTCTCACTTCGGATGCACTCTCAGTAATCAGATTAAACAGAGTTTACTTGGAGATCAACCGTGGTTCTAATTGAGGTTGATTGCCGCAATCCAGATGCACTTCGATTGCCTTAAAACCGACAATCGCTCTAGCCAGTAATTCGTTCTTTGTTCCTCTAGCCGACGCTAGTCACAAGGCTTTAAGCAACAAATTCCATCGCCACTCTTCTTTTTTTCATTCAACCACTTGAAACATGTGATCATTGTAGGCGGTCTGGTTGTTGCGTACGTGGTCTTGTACATGGTCCATTTAACCAGTTTTTCACGCCGAACTTTGGCATCGCGTTATCATAGACCCACTGAGCAAAAACTACTTGCGATAAAGATTGGCGCATAAATATCCAATATTTTTTCTGCAGTTAATGGCTAAATTTTGCTCAAACTGCGCTTTTTTGACTAAGTTCCTCATTGTGTGGTCACTGTGAGTCATCCGTTTTAAGCGTTTAGTGGGTTACCTGATCTTACAACCAGAGAAGCTTGTCGGCCGGCTACCGCTGAGATGAGACGTCTGCATTGTAACCTAAAGGTCACCGGTTCGAATATCCGTAAATGTGGGTAACATCGCAGTGCCGCTAGCCTGCGCGCAACCGGTGCGGCGCACAGGTGTACTGCTGATGCCTTTCTTTTCTTACCTGTTGTTTAGAACACCATCTACTGCTGCCAGTTTTGGGGACTGATCACTAGAAGCATCGGTCCCAAAGCACTTCCGGATGGCCACTCAAAGCCATGTGCCAGTCTACATGAGATGATCGAATGATGTCCAGCTATCCGGAGCAAGTTGACACGTTTGGGTAACCCCTTCCTTCTGTCGCGTATGATCAGGAGCCACAGGGTTGGACAATAGTTCTGGTGAATATTAGGACTTCTCGAAATGGTGGAGCGAATGCTACTCAACCCGTGCACTAGAAACGTAAATAAAAGAAACGTTTTCTACGAAAGAATTTATGTGGTCCAATAACCTCACCAGTGCATTTCGGACTATATGTTAACGTGCCCACTGCGTTGAAGTGGTTCACCAAATCACCTGAACGTAATTTGGACTTTGCGGTAATGTATTGACAATATCTGACACGGGATGGCACCGCTTTGACCCCACGTGCTCTTTTACTTCGACGGTTCCTCCCCTTGATTGTAAGAGATGATAAATTACTATTTATGTTGCTGACCATGGGTATTTTTGGATCCCGATTAGTGGCCATCACTCACGTCTGTTGCTTTACACGTGTGGGCTGAGAACACTGCGCGGTCGCACGCATCGATTCGAACCAGTGACCCCTCGATTAGAAGCTGACGCCTTATTCTTTTAGCCACCGGTCGACGCACTGGTCTCCTGCATGTGTTCTCATTGTACCTGCTCAGTTTCACTTTAACCCTGGCGTTGCCGGTTTCCGAAAGTGCTGAATTTCCCACTGCTTACCTTGAGCACATTCCTAACCAGACGCGTAAGTGTTGGTGTCCGGTTCTTCTACACTCGATGGCTTTCTTTTCAGCATTCCAGATCTTCCTGTGGCACTCACAGAAATAGGTGCTATGAAGATCGTTTACCCATACTAAATCGCACCACTCTGTATGCAGCCGAACCACATTTTACTTCGGAGCCCACTCTTTTCGTTCTTCATCTTTTATTCTTAGTAGTAGGGGCTACACGTTGTTTTATTCCTTGTCTTTTGTCCACAGTGGTACTTCCACCGGTGAGTTGTAAATTAATTGACATAACTTCCACACTGTGCAGGTGGTATACAACAAGTTGACGTACATTCTTCTAAAGTCCTTGAAATCTGAACATTTCTATACACCGCTATTTAATTGGGATGATTCAGCGGCATATATCACACTGCCGAAGTGGTGCCTAAAGGAGCCACGCCGTTCTACTCTGATGGTGTACTCACTGTTGCTGTCCTGCTGCATGTTCACTACATAATTATCGGTAGTGAATACACATCGTGAAAGTATAATTGACAGGCAGAATGGGGAGCATTGTATTGACTGAGACGGGTGCCCATTATGTTACTCAAGCGTGTGGTTAATGCAGTCTAAAAGCATTAAGTGCTCGTTTTTCTGTTACCACGCACCTGTGGAACGTTACCTATTGGATGCACCTGGCACGTAACGCGAGTAAACTCCAATGCTATTGATAGTTTTTGAATTGTCTAACAAGTTTATACCTCATGGGCTGCTCTGATTCCACTCTTCTTATACCAGCTGGCCACCTTTTCCGACTTTCCTCGTCTGTAGGGGATTCGCCTTGAAGAAACCCTATTGAATCGGATACTGCTGACATGGGACAGTTGTATGAGGGAACTGTAGACAGTTGATATCGTGTGCAAATTTGTCATCTGTGGGTCTAGGTTATGTTAGTTACCACACGTCGGCGACACGATTTGGTAGCGCAGCGACCAAAACCGTAGCCTTTTCATCTTTGATTACTTTTATACTCTACTCAATGCGATTACACCTGTTTTTTACTTCTGACCCTTCTTTTCGTTGAAAGCCGTTATTATGGTGAAAATTAAATGGCACATCGATTTTTCAAACATTTGGGTCATCTCTTGTTAAGGCTTTCTTTTTGTGTCCCCAATGAAGTGCCCCCTTTAGATAATGATTGGTGGTTTTTCTCTCGCAAATATCTGATGGGCGATAAGATGACTATACTTAGCGTCCGTGCGTGATGTTTACCTTTACGCTACTTTGACTTTGTCACAATTTTGGATAATATCTACTTTCCTCAGTGAGATGGAAATTGGGTGTTACTCGCCTGCAAACACTGCACAAGGTTCACTTCAATGTGAATCGCGGTCTACATTGAGATTGCACGTCGCACTCCAATCACACAACGTATAGTCCAGAATCGATCTTCCAATTACTTTCTTGTTTAATCGTCGAGTAGTAAACAGTATCACATGTGTGCTGGTTGTTTATTCGCTTTTCCACTACAGAGCTACTTGGAAGTAATGGATTGCCAGAAACTGCAGGTCGTAGCGTTTGCCTATCGCAATGTTTAGTCCTGTGGTCCCTGAAATTTGCCACAGTATTTCCACCTGCCTTTGGCCGATAGCGTACGCCTTGTTCACCCGGCCCCTTATGCTCCACACCTAAGTGATATTTCAAACACTCGTTTTATCCCTTTAGCCAGACTATCCATTTCCCGCCATTCGTTCGTTGCATGATTAGTTTTGACATTGTTTTATTCGTAAGTCTACTCTTGAAGGTCTATCGACATGACAAGTAGCTGATAGGATTGGGCACCGGTTTTAATCCCCTTAGTTCTTAGCAACCTCGCGGTCTACCCAGCCCACGTGCGACTCGGTGTTCACGTGGCAACGAAGCGTCGGTACGGTATTGTTAATGCTCCCTTTTTATCAACATGGTTAAGTCGCATTACAATTCGTCGGCTTAGCAAATGTGGTTTGTCTAGTTTGAGTCCCCTTCCTATCCAGCATCCTGGTTTGCGTGTGTAGTCTGCTATCCGCAAAGTGATACCATGAGGAATGTCTGGAGACTTTACGCTTTCACTGACCGCTTTCCGGTCCTCTGATAGTGCCTACAGCGAGAGAAGACGCCATGCTATCGGTTGTCACGGTCCACCGCGATCCAACCAAACCTCGATTGGATTTGTGTACGCCCTTGATTCACTGAGGCGAGTTGGGTGGCACTTTGCAAATGCTTTCAGAGCTAATTGAACTGGACAAGTCCATGGTTGAGTCGAATAAACTCATTTTCAACTCTCTTCACCGGAGATTGGTATGAGTTCGATAACCCTATTCCTTCAACGCTCCTCCATTGTGCATATTATGCTAAGCTCGATCGGCGTAGAATACGAGCACCATGGACTGCTTCTGATGGTAGGAGCTCACAACCTTTGCTCAATG